AAATTTATACTATTTTTAAGCTAAAATTGTTACGAGAACTCTACAGCTTAAGGGATATATTTTTAACAATTATTTTTTTTAGATAAACCATTTCCTTAACAATTATTTCTTTGACATAAATTTGGTTTAATCTAGCATTAAAATTAACCTGATTTAGAGTAAATATTAATTAGAATTATATGTTGGGGAAATAATTGTCAAGAAAATGCCTTGTTTAAGAAAATAATTATAAAAATATGTAGTATTAAATATACTTCTTATTGAAAAAATATGCTTTAGATGAAATAACATGTTGGCATTATGGCATTAGAGAAATGAGTTGGAGGAGAAATAACTTTCAGAAAATCATACTATAATCCTTGTCTTTAGAAAGAGAAACAATAAGTGTTAAATTGTTTTAAATCTTTGGCTATGTAAAAAAGATCAGCATAATTATTAAGATAGTTACTAATTTCTTGCTTTATTTGATCATCAACCATAGCATGATCTAGCTATGCTTTGTATTACTGTGATCTATTTAAGCTATTCTATAATTTTTAATATGTGATTTAATTCTATCAGCACAAAAAATTTCCAACTAGTGTTAAATAGATAGGTAAATATACAATATGTAGATTATTATAATGATATCGATATTTAATATGATTTTGTATTTCAGAATTGTCTGTTTTTTGTAAGTTATAATATGTGAATAATGCAAGCTGCTCTTGAATCCAGGTATCTAAAACATTATGTAACATTTTTCAGCATTATTTTTGTCTTTTAAAAAATTGGTAAAGCCAATTTTTTTCAAAACAAGGCTTTTTTTTTTGCTTTTCTACAAATACATATTTTTTTTTGCCAAAACTCCCATAATTCTTAAATGTTTTGGCAAATGACTTCATCTTTTTTATCATATTCTTCTATTCCTAGTTGAGAGAAAGAACATATGATGTTAATTATATCATATTCGTAATTATTATATTTATCATCAAAGTATTCAGTTGATGTTATTATGACAAAGTAAATCAGAGTTTTAATTATTACAAAATAAATTAAATTTTTTAGATTTGTTACGAGTATGACAAAGTGATTTTCTTAAATTTATTATGATTATAACAAAGTAACTCAATACAAATTTTCCTGAATTTATTGCAAAAAAAAAGCTTTTATTGAAATATATAAAAGTTTAACAGTAATTCCAACAATATTAATATGACTATCACTAAAAACGTTACGATAAATATCAATAAAACCATTATTATGATAGAACTAAATAATTGCAATCTAAATATTTTGCTTTAACTATTTCATATCAAGTAACTCTCCTCAAGACTGAATTCAAAACCAACTTTATTATCCATCATATCAATATTTTGGGCAGTTTCAAGCACTTCAATCAATGGTCAAACGGAAATATATTAGGAACTAATTTTATTAGCAGGAAAATATTTTTAATCGATATTACATCAAAGAAAAAAATTTAAATTGATAAATTGTATAAAAAATTTGTCATTGGCAACCATGTCAAAATTATCTTATTTTCTGCAGTAAATTAATTAATCCTGATAATCCATTTTCCGATACTAAAGGCATTTGATAAACTACATAGAGACAATAATAACTGCACAAGCGTTGATTGAAGTCATTATTTTGATTCATCGTAGTAATTGAGCATCCTTACACTTATAGCAAACCACAGTAATAGCTATACTTCAATAATATCTCTATTCAAACTATTGATATCTAATATGCTTTATGAATAGTTATAATTATGTCATAACTGTGTGCACTATTTGATCTCTAGAAAATTGTATTCTGGTTATGCTTGAGAGCATGATTAGGCTTTACTATACTATAATAAAAGTGGGACGCAATATATAATTTAAAAAGAAATTTAATTGAATTTGCTCATTATTGTAAGTGTTATGCAATATTCTAATTTTATCACAATGCCAGATATAATTAATCATTGATATTTGCAAATAAAAAATTCACTTCTAAGCCCTGATTTGCTAGACAACAACCCAAATTATAAAAAGCTATTACAGTATTGTTATGTAATTCTTATCTTGTGACTAGATGTGCACCAAATTTTAAAACCTTTTTAAGATTATTCATCATTTTCGTCATCAAATCTCGATCTCTTTTGATTGGTTTCTGATGATGATAATGATAATGCATTGAGTATAAATTCAAGTGCACTCTTTAATTTATGTTTTTGCGGTGTTTGCTTTGATGATATTGATATAGCTAAGAAATTATTATCCAATACTGCTTCCGAACTTTCTAATGATTCAAGATGTTCATTCTTCTCCCAATATTCAGATTGATCTTCTGGAAATGATGATTCATTATTTACTATTTGTGAACTTTTATAATAATTAAGTGCATCCCATAGATCAGCATTAGGATCAAAATCTTCAAGATTTTGTGAATTTTCTGACCCCGAAAATGACTCTCATTTGAGTTTGGATATTTGCGATTTTAATAGCAATGGGCTTGAGAGTATTTCCCTATTTTCATTTAATGATCTATTTTCAATAACAAGTGACCTTTCTCTAGAGAACTCGAACAAAATTGTAAATCATGAGAAGGGTATGTAGAATATTAATATTCCTTTGGTGATTTGCTACCTTCATGAATATCATAGTACTGTATTGAAGGTTGATATGAATCCTGAGAGTAAAGCAATTCTGACGAGCTAATCATCAAAAATACCAGGTGAACAATATTATCATTAAAATAAATTGATTAATAATGTCTAACACAATACCTGTTTTGTGTTAACAAGGTTTGTGTTAATAATATAGGTAATAGTTGTGAACTGCTAACTCTGTTAGATTGTCAATGTTTTCACTTTTCTCTTATAACAGTGACTCGTTATTCCAACTTTAATTATTATATATCACCAACAGTATATTAGTTATATGATTCAATTAAATTATAAATAAGTGATATTATAAATAGTAGTTAATAATAAGAAAATAAACAAAACTCACCACATCTCTTGGAACAGCGTTTTTATTCTATTTAAGACTTCTATTAATACGCCTTCCGAATCTGCAGTATGTTGTCCATATTTAAATTTACGAAACCTATATTGTGTGCAAACATCAATAGAAGAATCTAAAGAGATCCACATCTACAAAAAAATAATTTAATAATGTGATCAATTACCGCTAGCCACGTGAAATTGTGTAATTACGTCATTTGTTTACTAGCACTAAACAAATTAGCCTAAACTAATCTATCACCTAATCCAAAAATATTTTTTGAAATTAAACCTAGGTGCCGCACAAAAAATGCGCAGCAGATCCACGATTTTGATTGGTTAAAATAAATTAAGCTGGAATTACTCATAATTTTACCAATGAAATCGCAGCTGCCTATTAAGTGAAAATTGCTCCTGGGTTAATTTTATCATAATGCGTGCTTATTTTTTAAAAATTTCTATTTTTGTAATGAAAAAATTAAAAAGTTAATTCCAGCCGGAATTTAGTAAACAATTTTGTAATGTGGACCAAAATTTCAAAGATATTTGGCCGTTAGCCAATCAAAATCGAGGATCTGCCATGTATTTTTTGTGCGGCACCTAGGTTCAATTTTTTTGAATCTACTGCGGTCCACATTATAGTAGTTTACTGCTAATGTAGGCCAGGATTGAAATTCCAAAATATTTCACCTGTGAAGCATCCTATTTAGAGCTTATAGATTTCTTATTCGAACAATATTCAAATAATTTAGATTGGCAAATATCTATTCGAATATTTGTCGAATGAATAACAGAATTCAAATAAGTGCTATTTATTCGAATAATATATATGAAGCAGTTAATCATATATGTTACTATGTGTGAATCAGCCAATGACTAAAGTCTCGCATAACAAATAATGAATAAAATTTACTTATTCAAATAAATTATGTTATTCGAGTTATTTATCAGATAAATATTTATTAGAATATTACAAATATTACAAATATTATTCAAATAGTGTTTGTAGTCGATAGCACATTAGTCGGCTAAGTTAATCAATTTTTTCAATGATTGGCTTAGTCAACTTTCTATAAATTCATCATACTCAAAATTTATTTTCAATTTAATACTATACTAAATATATGAAAAGCCATTTTTGAAGATTCTTTATTCAATATACAGTAAATTTGGATATAATTAAACATGAATTTTATTTTTTTTTAAAAAATTTTTTATTAGTCAGCTGCTTATTTACAGTATATAGTATAGTGCTCTGAAATGAGCAATTGTTTCAATTCATATTAGTAAAAAACCAATAATGATAAATGCTAAATATAATAAAGAACTTTGATCACTACTTAGTCGGCTAAGCTAACTGAGCCTAATTTTATATCATCGGCTTAGTTAGTTGATATTTAGTAACTGACTACTAACACTATATTCGAATAATGAATACAAATACGAAGCTCTAATCCTATTCCCCAAACTATAATATAATAAGAGAAAATTTTAGTTAAAATTGATAATTAAGATACAAATTCCCTATAATTTAAAAATTTTAGAAAATTTGAGCTAATACTTGAAATTTTAGATTTTTTGTGAAAATTTTATATCTAAAATTTTACGAATCTCTAACTCAGAGCAGCTTTATCAGTGAAATTATGAGATATTGCACTTTTTTTTTAAAAAAAATTATTTATTGACCTTTCACTCTCTGCGAAATGATCTTGTATCACAAGCCAACACGTGTACAATGTACACATACAAGTTATCTGAACGTGGTGTTCTATAGAAAATAGTGATAGTTGAAAAACCAACTAGTTGACAACTAGTAACTAATCGATTGAAAATTTTTTAATCAACCAATCATTGGTTGATTATCTACATAATAAATTTAAGATGTGGAATTTTTTAGCCAATCAGAATAGTTTAAAATGATATAGAAAACATGCAATTATTTATTATACCAATTAAAAATTTATTGAAAACATGTAACTATTAGTTGCAACTAATTGACAACTAAGTTGACAACTAATCAATTGGAAAATTTTTAATCAAGTTAAACACTAGTATGATGTGATATAATATGCTACCCCTTGCCATGATATCTGTGCCATTTTTACCATGCCATACTATAAAACATGCCTGTGCATACCACACAATCCATGCCATTTTGTACATTCTCGAAACCAACCTGTACCACTTTTCTTATAGGGCATCTAAAATACGTAATAAATGAAAAAGGAGATGATTCTTGGTGTTATTTTTTTCAATTTTAATTAGCATTTTTAGCACCTAAATTTGAAATCAAAATGATTGCATATTTTAATTAAAACTGTTATAATTCCTTATTATCAAACCTGTAAACATTAAAGAGTTCACTTTTAATATATATTTATAGTAATATGTAGAGATGTGCAAATGCAAGTTTTTTTGTCTCAGCATTACATAATGCACATGATGCATTATGCAATTCTGTATCTCTATATATCTGATTTTTATCAAGAATAGCTCTAATATGTAGTTATATGTACATCTAAAGATGTTAAAAGAGATTTAACTATTTTGAAACTTAAACTATTATTGTTAAATAAAAATCAGTTAAACTAGTTAGTTTATTACATTTGTTAACATATCATAGACTATGATAATTAGTTTATTCTTTGCATAATTAACCACTTATACTAACTTTTTTGATTATTTTATTTAACTGGTTAAACTTATAAAAACTAATTAAAATTTACAATTGTTAATTTATCAGCTGATTTTTTGTAAATAGTAAAATTTTCCCCTCTCTCTATAACTACATATAAGCATATATATATGCAATCTATTAGTATAATATTTTGTACCCACTCCTTGCTAAAAAATACAGATAATAAATAACACTTCTTTTATATGTTAACATAAAAAAAGATTAGATATCAAAAGTAAATTTTACTTTTAAAAACTACTTTATTATACAAACTTCTTTTTATGAGATTACTCATCATATCAAATTAAACCATTAAATAATAAAATTTCATTAAGTGAAAATTTATATAATAATAATTTTAATGTATATTTTTAACTTTAAACTATTTGCATTACATTATATAATATTATGTCTTGCATAATGTAATATATATTATATACATGATATATCTCTAGTAATATGTATAATTAATTTTTAATTTAAAGTAAACTTGTATAAATTATTAAGTATAAATAAGTTTGATAAGATTTGATCAGGTTAAAATCTTATATACAAATATTTATATAAGTATTCTATATAATAAAAATAACTTTTTACTTTTTTAATTAATTTATATAATTTTATTTATTCATTTTTTCAATTTGAAAATTAAAAATAAGTAAATATTTTTTTTATTTTTTATTTTTTTTGTTTTCAAATGCTAATCTTTATTAGAATATATAACTTATAATACACATAGTAGTATATTCTAGATTCACAAGATTACAATTTTGGCATTATCTATGCTAAATGTCTATACTTGCAATTCAAATTAGGATTACTTATTTAAATTCTTTGATATCTCCATACTGTCCTATTTTTGTTAGATTTAAACCTACTACCTTGTACTGCTATTTTATAAAAACCACCCAGATTAATATTTGCCTACAATTTTTCTTCTTTTATAAACAACTCTTTGAATTTCTATCACTAATATTGTTCTAAAAAGGAGGTGCTAGTATTTTTCAATTTTTAATATGTTTAAATTAGGGTTTTCTGTAATTGCCAAAGCTTCTACTTGCAGTTAGAGTTACTCAGAACTTCAAAAACCTTTGATACAACTCATATATTATCAAAAAAGAAATCTTGTATAGAAATTCATCAACATTACATTTTTATCTAGTAAATTTTTAAAATTTGCTTTATTTTATATATCTATTTGGCTGAAATTATATAAACTTTATACAAACTTAGATCTAAGTTATATTAGAGATCTTTGGGGTCCTAGTTACTCTCTAAACCACTATACTTTTATACTATACTTTTATAAGATTCACACTTCACTCTAGTATTTATATTTGAACTTTTCTTTTTTTAAAATTTCCTTACCAATTCATCTCTTGCTTCCAACTAATAATTTGAAAAGTCAGCCTATCTAGGCTTTAAGTGTCTTATAGACTCCCTTCTTTTGATATATACTTTTAGGGTATATATTCTTTTTCTTCAAAACCTTAAACTAGTAGTTCAGTTGGTATATTTTTCTACTTAAGAATCTTGTTACTTAGTTTTTCAGTTTTGGTTCTAACTTTCAAATTTAGTGTTTTTGTAGTACTATTGAAGGTTTTAGCTACCTCTTTACTTGGGTCTTCCCAAACAGATTCTGATTATTCTAGTTTTTTGGCATTAGTGCACTAAAGCTTCTATTTAAGATGTGTAATCAAAATTACAAATATTAAGTCACAACTAATTATCAATAAATACAGACTATTTTTTAATGTTATTATTCTTAAAATTCAAACTTTAGATTTACTAGCTTGGAGGGATAATAACTCTACTACTTTTTTATGTTGCTACACTTTAAGTAAATATTTAAATATTTAAATATTAATTATTTTTCTTAATAGTTAATTAAATACTATTTTTTTTTTTTTTTAAGCAGTCTTGTCTTTGTTTATTTGAACCACTATTTAACTATTATACATATATAATTGACTATATAGTGTATTGCTCTAATCTAAAAAAAACTCACCAAGTATTTACCCAGTGCTACCTGCCAAAACAACAATTTATCTCCCTCAGGATCCTTAACTTTCTAAGGATTTCGTACCGATCGAGGTACCTCCTTGGTCATCAATTGGCTATTGTCTGCCATGTCAAGCATGCTTAAAAAGACCGTTTTGGCTTCACTAGCAAAAACTATGCTGGTTTGGTTCCTCACAAGATTCATTCCCTGGTTAGACTATCCCTTTCTTCGGCCATGTCTAGATTTCCTTCTTTTTGGCTAACCTTGGTTTTTCTGATATCTTTCTCTTTTGTACTGCTCATTGCGTCTCTATTTTCTTTGTCTTGTTCCTTTGTCTCTTCACTTTTTCTTTTCCTTGCATTTTCTGTTTTCTTTTCCTTCATGATGTCTTCTTTTTTCTCCTATTCTATTATCTTTTTACATCGAGGATTTCAGATAAGCTTGCAAAAATAATGCGAGAAACTATTGACA